TCAATGCTCCAGCGTCGAGTAGACTTGTCTGCAGGCTTAAATAGGGGCAGGAGCTCATCAGGGAGATGGCCGTCAGCTGGGGGTGATTGGCGGCCATCTTGGAAGCTGTAGCAAGTGCCACTCTCACACAAGGAAACGCAACAAAACTGATTCTTCCCCGTTAGCTTACTCCCAAGTGGAATAACCAGTTCTGCTTGTGATTAGATGGTCTCTTTGGTACGCCCCCTCCTCTATTGCCAGCCTTCTTCATTGTTCACAGTCGTGTCAAACTGGTTGAAAACAACAAACTCCATGCTCAATATTCCAGGTATAAAATATCATATCCTCTATAGACCAGAAGACCCATGGTCTTTTTGAAGGATTCAGTACAGCAGGACAAATGCTCCCAAAAGAGCCAAACTAGACTCAAAAACCCATTAAAAACCAACTTCTTGTGAACTTGAACAAGACATTCTTGCTATAATATTAAATGTGTCAGTTCATGGGATGTTAGGACAGGAGACAAGAGATGTCTCCAAATGGCTCGACACTCAGGTCCAAGTTTTGAAAATGGTGTCAGGAAGTTAAAATATTGTTCACTATTGACTCATTACAACGTTGACTAGACCAGGGGTGCCCAAACATTTTCTCTGAAAGGGCCAAATTTAAAATCTATCAGAGGGCTGCAATAATATAATACATGAAATGCAAATAATTGTTTAAGTAAAGTCCGTTTATTTATTATAGTTATTATCCTTCCATTCTGTACAAAGAGCAGAACAGGCTCTATGGTGGTGGTGGGTGGGGGGGTGGTGGTGGTGGTGGTGGGGGGGGGGGGGGTCTGGGGGTCCTCCCCCAGAGAATTTCTAATAAAGTAGATGCCATTTTGGTGTATTTTACAAAGTTTTACAAAGGTTTATTACAGTAGATTAACATGAAACAAAACATGTAAACTCTGTTATCAAAGCGTTCTTAATGCAACACCGCTGCAGCTCTGCAGGTAAGGGACGTTCACTTCAGGACAATTTGAGGTTGCTGACTGGTCAGTTGCTGACTGGTCAGTCGCTGACTGGTCAGTTGATGACTGGTCAGTTGATGACTGGTCAGTTGCTGACGTGCCTACTGGATTGATTGACAGGTGGCGTGACATGCAAAATAATTATAGATTTTAGTGGCCCGTTTGCGACTGTTGTCATTTATTCCATATTTATTCACCATTTTTTCAATATTTTGGTGAATCTAAGGTTTGGGAACTGTTTTCTTACAAAATCCTAATGATGGATTCTTAATTTTTCAGAGATGCTGAGTTAAAATTTAGGGGTGCTCAAGAAGGGTGTGTGATGGGCATACAGTACATGATGCTCAGCTTTGTCAAAGGAAATGTTATTCATCCATTCATTCAACCTTTATTTAGACAGGTAAATCCCATTCAGCCTCGAGGACTCATTTACAAGAGAGACCTGATTTCAACAAAGAATGATGACAACGATGGACAACAGTGACAACAATAGACAGTTATAAAAAGTCATACAGATTTTTATTTTTATTTTTAACAAATAGGATGGCAAAAAAAAGAAAAGTAACAAAAAACATCTAGATTCTAAGGCAAATGTAGAAAACTA